CTCTCTCAAAAATAAAGCATAAACAAACAAACAAACAAACAAAAACAAATGGGTTTGGACGCAAGTGTACCCAGCATCACAAGGTAGTTTCACAGCCCTCGCAATCCCCTGTGCCCCACCTCCTCACCCCTCCCTCCCCTCAACCTCTGGCAGCCACCGAGGTTGCCATAGTTTGGCCTTTTCCAGAAGATCACGGAGCTGAAGTCATAGATCTTTAATTTTCAACAATAGGGGAAAAAGAGAATGTTGAAAAGAACCCAAGAAGCCTGGAGAAAGAAGCTTATATACTTAAATGGCTGCCTCTTCCTGACATTTTGATCCAATGGCTAGAAAGGCCCGGTCATTTTCTGGAATGTTCTCTACCCATCACATACCTGCTCATCTTTTAAGGCAGGGGTGAGCACACTTTGCTGTAAAGGGCCGGAGAGCATCTCTCTTAGGCTTTGCAGGCCAGACACTCTGCTGACTGTTCAGCTCTGCCGTCGTAGAATGAAAGCCACCACATGATCCCTAGACAAGTGGGCATCATGGCTGTGTGCCAGTAAAACTTTATTCGCAGGCACCTCTTTCTGCCCACTGGTCCTGGGCTCTAATAAAATCACCTTGTTTACACCCCCCCCCCAAAAAAAAAACTTTATTCACAAAACAAGGAGCACAATTGGCTCTCCACAGCTGTGATCTGCAGACCCCTGGTTCAGGGCCCCACTCGAGTGTCACCTCCCTGGCAGCCTCGCAGTCACCTCTCCTTCCCTGCTTCCCTCTGCCCCTGGCTCCTCTCCGCAGAATCCAGACTGCTCCGGGGCAGGGACCGTGCCCCACTCACCTCCGCGTGGCATCATCATACCTTGGCCAAGCCGTATGTGGCTAAAAGCCGATTTTAGCCGCTCTAAGGCCATCCCAGTGACTCCAAACCATATGTTCAATCATGGGAGCCGGGGGCCACAGAAGAGAATCTCTAGAATGTTCTCCGGGAGCCAACAGGTGGAAGAGTGGACCCAGCAGTCCTTCCTGTACCTGTCTGGGCACAGTGTGGCCTCTGTAGCTTCTTCTTGTTGTTTGGTCCGGGCCCTGCAGACACCTGTGACTCATGATGCCAGGCGGCGTGTTATCTTAGGACCAGCCCTGCCCCTCGTGCCATTGACTCTTGGAACCGCCACGCATCCAGGAGGCATTTCTCCGTCCTCACGGGAAGCCCGGCCCCACTGTCCACAAGGAGAGGAGCCCCCCGCTGGAGCTGGACACCCCCCCCCCGCCCCTGCTCTTGCCGCCACACGCTGTCACCGCCCCCACAGCGTCCTGCTGGGCTCAAGGGACACGGGGCCCCGGGGAGCGCAGTTCACTGCCGGGACGGGCTGGTCATGCGTTCTGGCTCGAGGTGAAATGAAAGTCCCAGAATTTCCTTTGAGACTATGTAATAGTCAGATACTTGTGACTCTGTAGAAAGAAATTCACTTATCTTCTAAGAGAGAAGTATTAGGGGGGAAAACACACACACACACACACACACACACACACACAC